GATGCTTGGTAAGTGAAGAGTCAGCTGTCAAGAAACTTACCATTAAATAGTAAAGGAAATATATAGCTATAATGGTCACAAAGACCACCACACCCAGAGGACAACACCTTTCCTGAAACAAATATCAGCACAAGAGTCATATGAGTTTTGATTCTAATTTCAACTCGCCTACTGATTACGTAATTGAGTTTCTGAAAATTACCTCTCTGAATATATGGCAGTTTATTATATTCAAAATCTTGTTGAGGAAATCTGAATGAATATCTCTCTCTCTCTCTCTCAGAAAACATTTCAATCCATCATTTCGATATAACTGTATAACTGCTTGTTAAGCAGCACTTTACAGGCTAACAGCAGGTTACACATAAATTGTTGCTTCTCTGAAACTTACCTTGATAGTACACAGTAGCCATATCAGGACTGAAAAAAAAATAAAACATGACAATGTTACATAGATGCACATTCACACTCCAAATATCTGACTTGTTACCTTAATATCAATTTGTTCCTTTTAGAAATGCAAGGCAAGCTCAGGTCACCTCAGTGCCACTTTCTCCATCACGTATGTGACAAGACATCTGGGATGGAACAGTGTGATGCAATGGGTGAGCTGACTAACCACCTGTGCTATGCCACGGACTATTCTAACCCATATTTAATATCAAATTATGAATGCTAGCAACTGTGGATACTTTGTGTTGAAGCCTAGAATTACAGTATAAGCAGTGTGCATTCATCTACTGATTAGTCTCACTGGTGAAAGTGGATATTGTAGCTGTGGGTTATGAATCACACGTGACAACAGATGCAAAATTTTACTCTCATTGTTTGGGAACTTGAGTTGGGGAATAAAAGATTTTGTAGCTAGAACTGAACTTGAATGAACTAGCAAAGGAAGAGATTGCAAGCTGTTAGGCTGGCGGTGAAATCAATTCACAGCTTGACATGTGCAAGAGCGAAGTGATCTTGGAAAGGATTTACAACACATATAAAATTTTTCTGAAGAGAATGAGAATTAAAGCATATATATACACACACACACATGCACACACAGCTCTGGACTTGTAATATTGAATGACAATTTCAAATATAGGAAATTTTAAAGAAGGAAAATACTGATAACAGTCTCATGTGTTGGTAACTAGGCATGGGATTGAGATTGGTAATTGATTAACCATAAACAACTCTAACACTAATTTACACACACTGCAAATAACAACGGTACACACTAAGTCTGCTCAGTTTGTTTTAGTCCTCATTGGACGTAGCTAGGTTACGGCTGCTAACAGCGGAGATTTCTCACGGTGAACCACGAACTACAACTGCTCACTTACAGCTCATGCCAAAAAGAAAAAAGTCACAAGTTACTACTGGCGCCTTACTGCCAATTATATCGACTTGGCGTCAAGTCCCTTGAGAACTACGATCAGAGATATTTTTTTCTGCTGAACCCTTCCGGTCATAGTCGTTATGTAACATCCTCTCTGAGGAGAAGATAGGGTTTTCCTATGAATATGCTTGGCTCTTCATCAAATGTATGTATCGCACATGTAGCATGTTATTGAAAATTCTCCCTTTTGCACAATATGTAAGTCCTCTATCAGTCTACTTTGCAAAGCAGATGATGACAATCTTACGTATTGTAACGTGTTTCGCGTTACCGAAGACGCCGTAGAGATGGTTAATTGGTTTATTTAACAATCTACAGATAACGGCTACAATTAATTATCACACAGTTGCGGGNGCCTTGCCTTTAATTTACAGGAAGAACGCACTAAAATAACACATATACAAGGCTAACACAGCACACAAAACTGATATAGCCATAAAGAAAGTACAAGACAGTATTCTGCTTATGAGACATAACAACTAACGATGACGTGCATAGAAGCCTGATGATGGCCCATATGAGGCCGAAACATGTCGCAAACATATGTAGAACTAAAATAATTTTAAAGTATTTTGTATTTTAGATGTCTTTTATATATCTTTAATGAATTTTTGTTGCATTACTGATGGATACTTTAATAACAAAGAAAAACTTGCCTTGTCCTATACCACAGACATGTTCATTCTCATGATTTGCTATGACTTCTGCTTGTTGCCCGCACAATTAAATTATATAATCATATACATACGAAAAATCAGACTCAAAGTCAGATTTACTTTACGACTGGCAGTTTACCGAGAATCAGTTCACCTTGGCGTCAAGTCCTTTGAGACTTAGGAGAAGAGATTTTTTTCTTCAACTAAACTCTTGCGGCAAGAGTCCTCCTTTAACATGCTCTCTGACGAGACGATGGGTTTGTCTCTGTTGAATGTGCTTGGCCTTTTGTCAAGTGTACATTTCGCACTTAAGGGCATGTTATTGAAAGTACTTCCTTTTACACTACACACAAGTCCTCTGTCAGTACAAGCTTTGCAGAGTGGATCATGCCTGTCGTACATACACGTATATTATGCTATCATGGCAGCTTAGTCACTTGAACGGTTGTAAGCTTGGCCACCTCCAAGTTCAAGCCTCTTATATTTTCTATGCCTGGCTTCACCTTGTTATATACCACGAACAATACATTCTCATGATTTTGTGTGACCTCTGCTTGCTTCCTGTACAATTTTGTTATATTTGGGATACCCATGAAACTAGTTAGGTTGATTAAAATGTGTTTAAATGAAACGTATAGTAAAGTCCGTGTAGGTAAACACTTGTCTGATAAATTTCCTATCCAGAATGGTCTAAAACAAGGAGATGCTTTATCGCCACTCCTTTTCAACTTTGCCTTAGAATATGCAATTAGGAAGGTCCAGTGAAGCCAGGTGGGACTGCAACTAAACGGGACACATCAGCTGTTGGTCTACGCCGATGATGTGATTCTACTGGGTGATAATATAGATCATCATCAGTAATCTGTCAGATGACAGGTCCACAGTCTCTTCCAAAACAATTCCTCCAATCCGTACAGATTGTTAATTGGTTTATTCAACAACCTACAAATCTCGGCTACAATTAATTCTAAATTATTGTGGGGTTTCACAATATATATCCCTATACGCAAATCAAATCACTCTATTATCAGTAGTCTACACATTTTCACAGTACAGGAGCTATACAAGTGTCACTGTGTCACACACTCCCAATTAATTCTGTTATCACAAACTGTCACTGATTATCACACATTCACTCGTTCACTGCTGACTGAAGAACTAACTTGTAGGCTTGCTCGGAACTAACTGTGAATAGCCTTCGCTGCTCCATATCTAGCCTCGTTCCGGACAACACAGAAAACAGCCACGTAATAGGCACCACTGTTGTCTGCCGCCGTCGTGCTAGCAACGCTGTGTACTGCTGTTATTACCGTCATCTCTCGCAACCACTGTTTACCCGCCCTGCCAAGCAACCGCTGTTTACTCGCGTTGCATAGCGACCAGTGNGACAAAATCAAATCGTAACTGTCTAACAGTAGTTAGTTAGTTAGTTATTGGAAAGGGTGGGTTTCCCCATGCACTTAGACCAGTATTGGTCCATTGTGCTTCCCTCTATGATATTCTACCAGTCTCTATACCCTACCGATATAGGTGCGTACCATCAGTCCCGACCGAGCCAGCGAGTTCGGCCTCTACTAGCTTGGCGGTATTTATAATGCTTCCCCCAATCTATCAGAGGCGTTAGAGACTACTGTTGGGCGGGAAACGTCCTTGAATTTGGCTCAGTGACCTCCTTTGGAGATATGAAGTTCTTTTACGTGACGTAAAGCTACGACACGGGACCCACGGCTTAAAGTCCCTCCCGGAGGACTTATTCCCTGAATTTTTCCGCCCTTAAAAATTCCACGACCTCCGCCGGGTTTGAACCCGCGTACCACGAGTCATGAGGTGGGAACGTTACCTGTAGACTACGGAGGCCGCTAACTGTCTAACAGTAACTACGATCTGGTCATGGGCTCCAGAGGGTAATAGACACAAAGATGGGCTGACCAAATGACCATCGGTCGCAATGTGAATCTGACTGATGTAATCTGCTAATGACCAGTGAAGACTATTACAAACTGAGAATATCTAGTGCATGCTGTACTTATTTGTAGAGTATGTTAATTGGTGAGATCATTATAATCATTTGTAGTTACAAGTAATGCTTGTTCATTAAATCCAGTAATCAGCCCAAACCCCATATCTGTTCATTAACACGTGGAAGCTCGTTACTTACGGTAAATCTCAGCCATGCAGATTAGGAAGTACAGTAGGCATATAATAAATACAATCAAAACTTCCATTTTCTTCTCTGAAATTTCTCTGAAACATTGTATGGAAGGGAATGTACATATCTTTCATTGCTGGGCAACAAATCGATATTCTTACATCATTTCACATTCAGTATGTTGAATCGTGTTGTTAATAGGTTATCTCAAAAATTATTTTCCATTTTTAGCTTACTTTTGGGGCAGTTGCAGAAATGGCCATTGCTGTCTCCATACATGACTACCCAAGAACCGTATAAAGAAATATAATTATGTTTGATATCCTCCAGCTTCACGAAGACACGTCATCAACCACTGCCGAATAATGAAGATGATTTGGAAGTGACATTCGCAAATAAAAATTACATTCACGAAATATTTAAGAGCAGTTCAAATTTGAAGAATATTTCTGGAATGTAAGATTTGAGGCTTTCACGGCGGTGACTATGAAGAAAGCAGTCTTCTGGGATTTGGCACCGTGTATATGTGGTGTTAANGAATGTCTGCACTAATCTGTTTGGCCATGGAGGCAGCATAACAGCAAGCAAAGCACAGCTGCTTTGTTCTGCAGGTATTGTGCACCAGTTCTTCTGGTATTCGTGGCAGAGAGGAATGCTGCCATCGTGGATAAGATCCCTGATGCTGTTGCAGTGGGTCGGTGTGCAGCTGTCCCAAGTGTTATATTTGGCAAAGTAGCTGTGCTAAAGCTTAGGAAGTCTATAGCATTTCTCTGTAGAACCAATTCGTGAGCCCTTGTTTCCTTTTGTTACTTCTTGTTGGATCCTAAAAGTGTGGCTATGACCGCCACATCTGATCAAGGTGTCATATATACTCTTTGCTTTGCAGGTGAACATACCACCAGGAATACTGCTAATGAATTCTTGGGAAGTTCCCATGTTTCACCAGAACAACCAGTTTTAGCAAGTGACCAAGTTCCACTCTCAGGAATTATCCTGTAGACAATACAGAAATAAGTTATAAACAAAATGTTGCCTTCTATGCAGGTGAGATGCCTCAGATTTATGTAAGCACATTTGGACACACACATATATATGTTTTATAATGTGTGAATGATGATTTTGTGCATCTCTGTTCTTATGGAGATTTTCTAAAGGAATATAGCGTATTTGTCTATTAATTCCCACAGGCGTAGTTGGTTGAGGCACTGTGCTACAAACTGGAAGTTCACGGGTTCGATTCCTGATGAGGTAATCGGATTTTTTCAATTGGCCTAATCCTTGCAGCCGCACTATGAACCTAGGGTCGACTCAGTCTCTAAGAGAAAGTAGTACCAGAAATCTTCCTGGGAATAAAAGGCGCCGGGCACCTGAGACTGACAGCTTTACCAATATCTGTGAGCCGACTGTCTAAAAGATATGGGAAACTCGACTTCTCACAAACTTATGTGCGATTACAGGCTATTACAAGATTACCTTTACTTTTTTTTACCTTATTAACATAGTAGTGCAAATATCAAAAGTTACTTGCAGAATCAGAGATAAGTTACATGGCCTGTGTTCATTTGTGAATTTGGGAAGTGGATGGCTAGAATTTATATCACATACTCTTGAAAATGTAGACCATTTCATGACGTGTAATCAAAATATTTCTCACACTCCATTCCCCAATAAATAAATCCTTTGATTTACTCACATTGCCATGAAATCTGGAATTACTGATTCATCATATTTTCTGAACTGAACAGTGCACAAGTATACATTTATGTCTTTATGTCAAAATGCAAAATGGCAATCACTTTACTACAACATCTGGTAATCTGCACACTATGTGGCATACACAAAATGATGGAATTTAAAGTGAGAAATTATTATGTCACGCAATGTGCAGTTCTGTAATTCCACTTTTCGTTGTGCTCGTGATTTTATGATCATTCTGTATGTATGATGCTGTAATATACATAACAAATTATACACATCAATCGTGAAGTATGCATTTTGTCTAGTGATTAATTATTCTTAATATATGATTTTATATCTCGACTACATCCTTCTGATCCTTACGGTAGCAGTCACATATATGTTGAAAATTAACAATGTTATCGATGTATGATAAATATGACATATGAATGGCAGCAACAGAGTTGATCTTTTGAAAATGTGGTAGTACTCCTTGAATATGCAGAATAGAAAATTAGCCAGTAATTTAAAACTGTATAATTACCCAAGACAAAGACCAGCACAAAAAATCTTTGCATGGGTTCAGGCTGGCTGCGTTTGTGGCCTAATGGTCAGAGTTCCTGGCTACATATCCACTACTAACTTCGCCGACAAACGGCGGATGTTCAGTCAGTATAGTTTGCTTGCGGGCTAAAAGCCATGCAGTTTATGGGTTCAAGCTCATGACAAACTGTGAAGTCACAGACACTGTGTTTCTTACCCTGATCCATTCTTCTTTATATTATGACACTAGTAGTATCTAGTGTGGGAACCTCCCACATTCTAACACGCAGCTTCGCCGGTCTAACAGACAACATTCAACTCCTGCTAAAGCCGAGGCAATGTCAAAGTCAAAGTCACATTGCAACTGACAGTCAGTCTGTCTGTCTTGGTGTCGAGCCCCTGCTAGGGCTCATGACCAACTATTTGTTTTTGAGTGAAAGTTACTGTCTTGTCTATGTGGGGCGCCCTCTCTGACGAGAGGTTGGGTCTGTCCTTTGTCAGTCAGTCTGTATTAGTAAGTCCATTGTTTGTATTTACATACATTTACAAATCCACACTTAATTCTTATTTCTATGTACAATATATACAAGGCCTCTGTCAATCCAGGCCCAGTACAGCAGGTCATGGCCTATTTCTAGTATTATTCGCCACCACGACAGTCTAGTCATTTGATCGGTCGTATGCCTGACCGCCGCCAAGTTAAAGCCTCTTATACTTTATGTGGCGGGCTTCGTCTTGTCCGATGTTGCGAACATTCTCATTATCATGATATTGTATGACTTCTGCTTGTTGCCTGCATAATTTTGTTATAAAGTCATTTACGTACGGGATTTTGAATGCCATGTGTAAATCACGGACCGGTGTACGCCTCGGAAAATTGCCAATCGTGCGGAGAACCTTGTTGTGCAGGCGCTGCAATTTCACTAGATGGGTGTCTGCGGCAAACTCCCAGGCGGGACTAGCATAAGTCATTACGGATCTAATAAGAGCTTTATGGAGGGTTAGTTTAATGTTAGCGCTCAATCGCTCATTTTTGAATAGGGAATACATTCTAATGAATATTCTGAAGGCCTTGGCTTCGATCATTTCTATGTGTAATCTCCAAGTCACTCTCTTATCGAAGATTACACCTAGATATTTTGCACTATTTACAAATGGAATATTTCTTCCATTTAGAGTAAGACAAGACTCAGGCGGTCGACGACCACGAGAGAAGTAGACCCCCCGAGTCTTATCTTCATTAATTTTTATATTCCAGCGCTCACACCAGGTCTCCATTGAGCTGAGACCGCGCTGGAGTGTTCTAATGATAAAACCCTCCTTGCGATCTGTCGCATATAGACAGGTGTCATCCGCAAAGAGGGCCAGGTGAACACCATTTGTTTGGGGGGCATCATTAATATACAAGTTGAAAAGAGTAGGGCAAAGGACCGAACCTTGTGGCACCCCTGCTTGCATTTTCCTTGGCGTTGACAGTTCGCCTTCGACCGAGACCGAGAATTTACGTTTAGAGGGAAAGGACCCAATAAGTTTGGTCAAACTTTTCGAGAACTCCAATTTTGATAATTTAAACAGCAAGCCTGAGGGCCACGTGGTATCGAAGGCTTTTTCGATGCCCAAGAACACAGCAGCCGTAGACATTATCACGCATTTTCTGCAACGCACACTCTTCACATCAATTTTCACCATCACGCGCACTAACCAATCAAATTGCTCCAAACGTTCGCGTTTATAATGCGCTCGCCGCTAACCCCGCATCTACATCATCACGCGCGCTAGCCAATCAGCGCCCTGCAAATCGTTCCTCCTCAATTTCAAGTTTCGCTCCGCCCACCGAGCAGTGTATAAAAAGGAGCAGTCGGATCGGTTACATTATCAGATTCCAAAAAGTATATGAGAGTTGGATTGGAGCGATCTTCCTGGTGATTTGGTCCGTTTGATCGTTAGCTAGAGATTGGTATGAGGTTAGAGAGATACATTTGATTGATTGAAGGGATTGATTATTCGATCGGTTAAGGATCGATTAGGCATTCGGTTTAGGTCATCAGAGTGGTGGATTCGAGATTGCCTGTTTGACAGGGCAGGACAGGACAGGACAGGACAGGACTGATTCACGCTCAAGGAGTTTAAGATTGATATGGTGTACTGTGCGGCTGGAAAGTTGTGATTGGATAGACAAGTGGGATTTATATTCGGAGGTTCATCGACTGATTGTCTGTTCGAATATTGGTGGTGTTCGATCAGTATAAAGGAGTTATTTGCTGGTAGCTCTGAAATTTCAGTCCTTGTTTGTTTGTTGTAAAAATTCTCAGATTTTGCTTGAGGCTTGTGTTTCGTGCCGTGCCGTGCCGTGCCGTGCCGTGCCAGACACGGCGGGCGACTCGGTGCCTGGCTATCATGCATTCTGGGCAGAAAAAAAGAGCCTCACTACAGGAAGAGTATAAGTAAAACGTGAAGCAATATCCTGCAGCAGATGAACATTACAGGAGACTGTTCAAAATCATTTGTGACATTGAGTATGTGGCCAGCTCCACACGCGCCACAACTGGGGAAAGTGTTGAGTGGGCGGCAATAGTAAATGCCGCAAGGCTCTCAAGGGCAAGATTTTGTTCAGTGCTCTGTACGGAGCTACACAGTTACACTGAACGATCTGAAGTCCCTAGTGAAAGCCAGAACATCGGAGACAACAAAAACCCAGACGAAGCCCTCCCAAGAAGAAGACTTCAAAGAGGTCCGAAGGCGGAAACGGCAGAGCACAACCGAGTCCGCCCAGATTTCAAAGAAGGCAGCGGCTGCCACAGGCAACACCCAGACCAAAGAGGTGCCCACCCGTAACTACTTTGCTCCTCTCAGGGTGACAACAATGGACACCGACACTGCTGGTGACGGAGCCACTGCGCTGGAGGAGGGAGCCACTACTCTGGAGGTGGAATCATCAGGTAGAGCAGGCAGGCCACCCCCAATAATTCTAACGACCACAGTGAACCTCATTCACTTGGAAAAGCGACTTAAAAATGTGGTCAGAGGTGACTTTGAGTTCCGTAATACCAAAAGCGGGACCAGAGTCATCACTAAAAGCATGGCGGATTTCGAAGCCGTCAAGTCCTATCTGTCCAACAACAAACTTTCCTATATTACCTTATTTCCCAAGTCAGAAAAACCCATTAAGGCTGTAATCCGTCACCTCCCCCACAACACCCCGGCGGAAGATATTTCTGATGGATTGGTGACCCTGGGATTTAACGTGGTCAGCGTCAAGCAGATGACAACCACCCGAGGGTCGCCTTCAGAAGGAAGGATATCCAGAAACCTTCCCCTCTTCCTTATAACCTTACCCAGGACGGCAAAATCCCAAGAAATATTCAAAGTACAAAACCTTTGCCATATTTCCATCCGGGTCGAGGCTTATAGAGCACAGAGTGGTCTTACGCAACAATTTGGCCACGTCTGGGCTAATTGTAAGCAACCTCCCCGTTGCATGTGGTGAGGGGGTGGCCACCTGCACAGAGAGTGCCCTGAGAAACAGAACGCTGCCTCCACTCCAGCGTGCTGTAACTGTGGGTTGAAGGATGGGGAGAATCCGCATCCCGCTAACTACCGCGGCTGCAGTCACGCGAAGGAGGAACCTCAGAAGAAGAAATTGCAGAGAGCACCCAAAACCACAACAGGAAGGGTGTTCTCATCAAACATAGTCACCCCTGGAGTCTCCTTCGCGGCGGCTCTCCGAGGCAACACATCACAGGAGCAGCGGTCTCAGACTCGACAAACACCAGTGGCAGTTGCACCAGCAGCCACGAAACCGTGCGTCCCTATCCCTGTGCTGGAACAACACACAGGTCAGTCAGTTCAGGCTTCTAACGTAAACAGTCAGTCTCTCGACAATTTGTTGAGAGTAGTGACTGTAGTAGAGCAAATTATGACAGAGGTCAATGGTGCAGTGTCCGAGGAAGACAAAATAATGGCCATAACTAAAATCGTTCTAAACTTAATGAAACAAAATGGACACTA